CAATATAAGTTTCTATTGACATTGAAGCCCGTGAACTAAGCCTGTTTGGACCAATGGTAGACCGGAGGTAATTCTTTAAGAATTTGGCTTACTGAACGATCTTTAAGCTGATGCAAAACTAACAGACATAGTCAAAAACAACCTTAATGCAATGAAAACATTGGGAAGCAAGCTTTGTAAATTCAAATGCTCATGCTTGTTCAGCAGCTGCAATGGTTGAAGGAGCTTGTCAGATTTGCATCTTCCGCTATATTCCCAGAATGGATGCTTTTAGAAAAAGAAATTCATCTGGGATGTCAGGAGACATTTCAGCCTTGTATGCTGCACTGAGTTTGGCACCTTTTATGCTAGGTCAGCTTCCTTCATTCTTGGATATAGCCAAAGAAAATTGAACCTCTCGCATATTGCCATATCGCCAATGGACTTGAGTCTTCCATTTATCTCTGCTTAAACACGATCAATAATGACCAAGTAGACATTCATCTTGAAATCACCAAGTGCCTGTTCCTGGATTTGACTCTCAGATACAGATGAATTTGGCTGATTTATCTTGATCTTCAATTTTTTCGGGACATTTAGCACCTCAGCTACACAAGAAACTTCTTTCAAGATCGAATCTCACCTTTCTCTAAACAGTTGTATTTCATTTAGTAGGGTTTCTAGGTTTTACCACTCAGCATCAATTGTTGTCTGCCTTAGCTGCAATACTTTTGCCCTAATGTCAATTGCCTTCAAAATTTTAAACCATGCTGTCATCAAAATCATTGCTTTGAACAACTGAAAATATTTTCACAAGTTAGAAATTTCCGTTTTTGATTCTGGAGAGATATCAAGTGTATTTTGCACTTCATATATCGCCTTTAAAACAGAAGGTAATTTTTGGCACACAGGCTGGCCAGCCGCTATTGTTGCAGATCACCTTGTTTGACTGCTTCAGTGCAAAGAGCCACCGATATTTTTTTGAGAATTTCCCATCTAGGTGGGCTGAAGTCGAAGGAATTGAAAGCTTCTGAATGTTACCAAAAAGTTTGATTGCATCAGGGCAACATTCAGCAGCATGTACGCCACATAGATTTAAACCAGGGTTGCCAGATGGTCTGGAAACGAGCAGGCGAAACCAGCTTAAAAAAGTGGCCAAATTGGTCAAAAATAGGCCAAACTAAAATGACGTCATGAAGCATCGCTATGTGCATGCGTAGATATACATTAGGAAAACACATCATGAACCTCGAGAGCTGAAAGCAACTGAACAAATATAAAAGATAAACAAGAACAAATTTAAAGTTAATAACAAACAAAGCATGAAGCAAAAATAATAAAGTTTCACACAAGCTATTCATCTTGCATCATCACATCATCATCATCATCTTCATTTATTCCTTCTGTTGCATACATGGACGAATTGAACAGCTCTAACATCCTTGGAATGACACAAAAGTCTTTCCAACATTTATTTTCGAAATGCAAATTTGTTTTGATGCGCACGATTGCCTCAAGCATGACAGGAGACATCTTGTTCCTTGGCTTTGTTTTGACTCCAGTAACGTAAGAAAATATTCTTTCGACAACAGCATTGCTGGTTGGTGTTGTGAGGCATGACAGTGCATAGCTTGCGAGTTCTTTAAATGGCCTCTCACCCAGGGCATTTTTGTATAAGAATACTGCAGCCCAAAATTTTGAGGAATCTTGTGGTATTCCTTCCTTCATCTCTTTGGCCCAGTCAATAAATTTTATCTTTCGATACTGTTCATCAATAGTTGACAGAACACCGCCTTGAATTAGGTGCTGCAACATACATTCCACTTGACTGAGTACACTCGAGGGGCTAAGATATGCAATGGATTGAAAAATCGCATTGGAATCTGATAAGCGCTTTGCTACTTGAGCTGCAGCCTCCAGTATCAAGTGATGGCATCTTGCATCAATTTCCCTTCCTTGTTGAGCAGTAAGTTGCTTCCTCCCCATCATTTCGTTGCGTTCAAATATGTACTTAGCACCATAACCAACTTTATCTGATGCTACGTGGCTGCCATCAGGAAGATAAACTCGACTGGTCAGGCTGTTATGGAACAAATTCAGTTCTTTAATCGAATCTTCTAAAATCAGTTTGAATCAGTTCTTTAATCGAAAACACAATCTTCTAAGTTTAATCCAGCATCTTCAAGACTTAGTTTTAAGGCATTGAATATATCTTCCCCAGTAGCACTTACGAGGGAAACTAAACTGATAAGTGCTGTGCAAATTTTCTCTTGCTTTTCGCTGAAATATCGCACTGTTACACACAAATATTTCTTGCACCATACATCTGTTGACTCATCTATGAGAACGGAGAACTTCTTGCCAGAAACATTGCTACGTAACTCGTCGTAGAGGGCAGGAGAGATTACGCGTTTGATTAATTGGCTGCATTTTGTTCGATGAAGCTTCTGTTCTCCTAGTTTGCTCTTATCTCAGTGTTTCACAATTATTTCACCAAAATGGTCAACTGCCCGAATTGCACAATGACACCTTATAGCAACAGCAAGCTCGAGCTCGATCTTCTTCAGGACCTCATCATCTTTCTTCAAAAGAGTAACAATTTTTCTGTTCAAAGAAACTGCAGTGGAAGCTTTTTTATGTTTAGTAGAAGCCTCGTGTTGTTGAATATGACAAAGCTTTGGGTTAACATTGACTTTACATAAAGAGCAGTATGCTTCATCTGTTCCATCCACAGCTTTTGTTACCCAAGGATGCTTTCTTTGCCATTGCGGCTTATACTTTCGAGCACTTTCATAGTAGCCTTTCCACTTAGTACCTTTGGGTTCCTTGCTTAAACTCACTATTGAAATCGAATTGAAATTTAACAGAGCAGTGAGTATTGCAATCGCGTGAATCTAAATGAAAGTTTTCTGATGTTTAGGGTTATATGAATCAAGTTTTTAGGGTCCACAAGGCTTGTTGGAAGTGGTATATCCGATAAAACAGCCGATGTTTTGTTATGCCTCACATCGAGACATCCTGTTATTGTAGAAAACTAACTCGTGAATGTCAATTCTCCGTTCCCCTTATTCGCGCGAGGCGCAATGCATTGTGGATCCTGTGGTTAAGCGTGCGTTGTTTACATTCGCGTTTCTATCGCAATCGTATACAGTTTTGATCGTCAAGCAGGTAACAAAATGGGTTCTAGTGCAGCTTTTGATAAATTGTCATCTCTTTGACTGCTGAATCTGACCCCGGTTTTTTTCAAAGCTCTCGTACGGGTCAGGGAATGCTTTCGAGGGAAGTAGAGCAAATAGAAACAAGTTTTCCGACCGTCAATTCACCCACCGGGAGTTTAGGCCCAAATGAAAAAAGGCAAGAAGATTTCGTTGACCAGGAAAGTGGTTGGAGCATTGATCTGAAGGATCTTCCTAACTTTACAGAGGACAATCTCAATAACCAATTGATAAATAATGCAAAAACCATGCCAGACAAGAGAGCCCCGAAAGCATATCGTCACAAAATGGAGGGGTATAAACTTTGGAAGGAAGGGTATGTTTCAAATACCAAAGTGAAGCCAAATGTAAAAGCTTTTGGTTCCAAACTGTTTTCAGTTAAAGCTAATGTTGCAGCGTCAATGAAGAGCATAAGGTATTCTGTCAATGTTCGTTTGGACATGGAGAGTTCCAGTGTTGTCCACGCCAATTGCAGTTGTAAAGCTGGGAAAGGAGGATGCTGCAAGCATGTGGCTGCTCTTCTCTACACTATTGTCGACTTTTCAAACCTTAAGCTGCATTATGTGCCAGAAGAAGTCACATGCACACAAGTCCTTCAAAAATGGAGTGTCCCCACTCGAAAAATTACTTCACAAGTTGCAGTTAAATTTAGCGACTGATTTTGAGAAGGCTGATTTTGAAAAAGACAAAAACAAGAAGAGGAAAAGGCCTTTTGTAACAGGAAACAGAGAAGGTTTCTGTGCTACCCCATCATATGCCAGAAAAGTAAAATCTGAGGAAATTGAACTATTTGCAAGTGCACTGGAGAATGCAGGGAAGGCATCACATTTTGTGAACATTTTAAAAGGAAACAGTTGTATTCCTTGTAATAAGTTTGTTACTTCCTGTACCATAGCAGAAAAAGAACTACAGGTGCAGGAGACCATTGCATCAGAGACTGGCTTCAATGCTGAATGCATTTTCAGTTTCCTGCCCAAAAATATAGATGCCACACAATTTGGAGCAGAGGCATTGCAAAAGGTAACTGAAGCTGTTGGAGTTACTATGAAGCAAGCTCTTATCATTGAAGAAAGCACCCGTAAGCAAAGTAACTCACAGATATGGCACTTTGAGAGATCAAAATGAATAACTTCTTCCATGTTTGGCAGAGTTATGAAAAGGAAAGAGCAAATCTATCCAAAGTCCATTTTGGACACCATCAGCAACTCAAAAGTTGCAAAAGGTCCCAAATCAGCATCTTTGCATTTCTATGAAGCATAGCTCTGCCAGAATGAAGGTTTGCAAGTTGTTTGCTGTGGCTTGATTATTAATCCTATGTGGCCTTGGCTTGGAGCTAGTCCTGATGGCATTTTGCTGGAAAATGGCCATGTAGTTGGAGGTGTGGAGATAAAATGCCCATTTGCATGTAGAGAAATGACAATTGCTGATGCATGCCAGTGAAAAGATTTTTATTTGAAGGCAACTCCTACTGGACCAAAGTTAAAAGAAAATCACCAATACTTTTACCAGTGCCAGGGTATTATGAACATTGTTGGCTTGCCATACATTGATTTTGTGGTATTCACTCTGAAGGACCTTCATGTTCAAAGAATCAAATGTGACAGAGAATTGTGGAGAAACAACATGCTTCCAAAACTGACAATTTTCTTTGAAAAATTTATGTTATTAAAA